AGCAAGCCAGGACATGCGGGATCAGGGCCTGGCTCCAGCAGAAACTTCCTCAGTGGCCCTGGAAAAGGGGAAGAGTGGAGTCCCACAAGAGCCCTGCTCCCTTCACAGCGTTTCTGAAGGTCCCAGCACCCAGAGGGGCACAGAAAGCCCCCCAGAGCTTAAGGAACAGCTCTCCATCCACTGGGATCACCGACCTTCCTCTTCCTCTCCCCCCTGGGAGCCCAGCTGGGCAGACTCCAAGCCTTTCCCAAAGGAGGCCGGGTGAGTTGTGCTGGATGCATTTCCCAGCTCTGCTCTTTCTGAATCTCCTTTAAACGGGCAAATGGAACGCTCCCCCCACAGAGCCCCCTAAAAGCTTTTCATCAATTCCTCTCCAGCGGTGCCAGCATTCCCAGTTACCTGCTGGAGCTCACTGGGACTGCCAGCACCGCATCCACCCTGAGGCCGCATCTCCAGCCCCACACTCCTGCTCCCCCCTCCTCCTCCCCACCAGCCGGTGGATGTTTTATCGTCTGTGATTATTTACTTAACCAAACGCAGGTATTTGCAGCCCGGAGGGCTTTCCCCACCGGGAGGCTGGAATAACAGCATGGAACAGCATCAGGCCTTGGGAATACTGACAGCATCCCTTGCTCGGGGAGATGGCGGTGCTGGCAGGAGGAGGAGCAGCTCAAGAGGTTGTTTGATTGTTTCCTGGTTGTGAAAAAAGTCAGCTGGTTCCAGGGGGGAGCAGAGGAGGAGGGAGATGCAGGGAAGGGGGTGGTGACCTGCTGGCGATGGGAGAGACACTTCTGGCACAGCTTTGGCCGGATGGAAGCCTGGATTCCTGGCGAGCCAGGGCTGTGAGTGGCCAGGTCTCCCTCATCTCCCACGGGAGGTGTTTCCTGGATGCAGAGCCTCCTCCCAGCCCAAACAGCTCCAACCCTCCCTTGTCTCCTGCAGAAACCTCACCGTGCTTGGGATGCAGGAGAAGGCTCCTCTCCCCACGTTCTCCTTCTCTGTGATCTCACACCTACAACAAGGCAAATTTACCTGGCTCTGGGGTCCCAGCCAGGCCTGGAGCTCAGGGGGAACCTCACAGTTCCAGGAGGACCTCAGTGCTCTCCACACTGGAAGAGGGAACTCCTCCTGGAAGGGGATTGCAGCAAGGTGGGGGTCAATTGCTTCTGCCGTGTCCCAGGTGAGAAAGGAAAACAGCCTCAAGTTCCACAGGGGAGCTTCAGATTGGACATTAGGAAAAATGTTTTCACTGGAAGAGTGGTCAGGCCTTGGAATGGGTTGCCCAGGGAGGTGGTGGAATCACTGTCTCTGGAAGTGATCAAGAGGTGACTGGATGGGGCCCATGGGGCCAGCATTTAGTGCTGACTGTGGGGCTGGGCTGGTGGTTGGACTTGATGATGCTGAGGGTCTCTTCCAGCTTTGATGATTCTGGGATTCTGCAGGATGCCAGGCAGCCAGGACCCTTCCCAAGAGTCCTTTCTCAACCTTGGCATAGCTTGTGACTGTCACAGGGCTCCTGCACCACAGGGAGATCACAACCAGATCTGGGGACACATGTCCCAGTTGATGCCAGGCCTGAGCAACCTCTGTGAACCCTTTCTCCAAGCAGGGAGCATCTCTCCCAGCTCCTGTCCCAGATCCCAGTGAACTGAGCCCTCAAACCACTGGGATCAGGGCCTGTGGGATGCTGGGGAGGCTGGTGAGCAGACTTTGGGCGTTTCAAGCATGCTTTGAGTTGCTTTTCTTTTTCTGGACCACACAGACCCTCCCTGAGGCATCATTCCTAGAAAAGTCAGAGCACTGCAGGATTTATGGGCTGAGGGAAGAGCTGGAATTCAGTTCTCTGTCCTTGGGTTCCTGCTCAGGAGCTCCAGCACAGTCCTGTCCCCATCCCAGGATGGGCAGGAGGGGGACAAGGGACTGTCCCAGACACACAGGGATGTGGCTGGGGGGTGTCACCTCTCCAGCAGGTCTGGGGACTCTGTGTGCCCCTGAGAGGCCGTGCTGGTGTGCCCCCCCTCAGGGCTGGCAGAGGTGACACAGAGGTGGCAGAACTCAGCCCAGAGTGCTCCTGAGAAGGAATATCCCTGGGGATTTGTCAGAGAACGACTGGACCCATGGTGGGATGCTGGACCATCTCACAGCATCCTGAAAGAGCAATAAAACCCCCCTGGGGACACAAAAAAAGTGCTGGTGTTCTGACCAGGAAGGAGAATTGGAAGCTGGAAACATTTATCCCTGTGAATGCCTAGGGATGAGCAGTGGGAGCTCTGCCAGAGCCGCTGCCCTGGGCTGGGTTTGGCACCAGCAAAGGGGGTCCTGCAGCTTTGTCCTGCCCAGCCCAGGCACTGGTGGCCCACTGGGCTCCCAGGAATGCAGGAGCTCTGCCAGGATCCAGCCAGGCCTCTGGGCTTGGCATGGGAGGAGAGAGGGAGAGCAGCCCATGGGAGGATGAGAGTTTAGATCATGGAGGACCTCACTGTAGAACCAGAGAAAAATCTGTGAGAGAAAAGTTCATCAACACAGGGAGACAGGCTTTGGGAAACAGGGGTGGAGGGCTGTGGGGAAGGGTCTGCCCACCTACAGGGAAAACTGGATGAGGATTTGGGGCTCAGCCTGGTTTTCCTCAGCCTGAAGGGGCTGGTGCTGCTGCAGTGATAGGAGAACCTGGAGCAGGTGTAGCACAGACACTGACTGTCCCTGCAGTGCTGCCCTGAGCTTTCCCTGCTGCTCCTCATCCCTGTGCCTCCCCTCTCCATCACTCCATCACACCTCTGTGCTTCCCTGTCCACATCACATTCCAGCCAGGCACACACAGCCCCTTTCAGGCCACTCAGCTGTGAGCTGGGACACAAAACTCTGAGGTGAGAGGCTCATCCTCCAGACCTGGCCCAGGAAAGGAGCTGGGATCCTGCTGCTCTTTCTCAGGAGGCAAGAGAGACATCTGTTCCCTGGAGCCTGGCACAGGGAGGATGGATTTTAGCTCCCTGCTGACCGAGGGCTGGGGCTGCTTCCTTCGGGCGCTTCCCACCTTCTCCCAGCCCTTAGTGCTGAATCCCAGCCCTTTCCCTTCCCTGCACTCCGTCCTTCCAGCACACTCCCGGTGCAGCACCTGGAACGTGGCTGCTGTACCCTTGGGCAAGGCAGGAATATGGAAATGTCAGTGTTATTTGCAAGGCAATAATGTTTGGAGCCGCTGAGGTCACTCCGCATTAACCTGCTGATGACACTGTTTAATCTTCCCAAGAGGTTGGAATCAAAGGGAAAACACAGCGAGCTCATTCCCAGGAGTGTGTCCTGCACTGGGGTTTACAATCAGAGGAATGTGGGCTGTGTTTGGACTTGGCTGGGTTAGGAAAGGCCTTTGCAGAGGTTTGTTTATTCAGAGGTTAATGCAGCCACTGGGAGGGAGCTGCCAGCCAGGGCAGGGGACAGCAGCTCCTGTGCTGGCCCTGCTGCCCTACCTGGCACAGAGCTGCTTCAGGTGAGAGCCCAGAGTGCAGGTGAGGTCTTTTTGCTGGAACATCTCCCACTGAATAAACAGCTGGAAGAGCCTGGAGTGCTCTCCTGTATTGCTCTCTACTCCTGAAAAATCCAAATGTGGTCCTCATCCTTTAAAGTCACCCTCGTCCCTTAAAGTCACCCTTGCTGTGGTCCTCACCTGGATGGGTGAGGCTGAGGTGGTTTCAGGGCTGTTCACACTTACTCCTCTGGGATTCCCCCATGCTGGCTCTCATCTGTCTGAAATGGGAATTTTTGTTTGGTTCTGTCAGAATATGTTTGAGATTCTTTTTTCCAGTTCAACATCTCTAGTGTGTTCTCTAGACCCAAGCTGAAGCACAAAAGGCTTTGAAGGCTTTGAAGGCATTTGAAGGCACCCCTCAAGCTCCTCAAGAAACTGCTCTGGCAATTTTTAGGATTTCCTTGCTAATTGTTTGTCAGCAGGACAATTTCTCAGCGATGCTGTCACTGACAGTGGGCACAGGGGGGACAGGTCCCAGAGCCAAGTCACAAAGTCACTGTAGAAACAGCTGCCATGGATTTAGAGGTTGCCATCCACCGCTGAGCTGGGATTACAGCTGGGAATTCTCTCCATCACCTTCAGGGCAATGTTAGCAAGTCCATGTATGAGTTAGCAAGGAGTGTTTATGGAGCATAAGCAGGGATTCCCAGAATGGTTTGGGTTGGAAGAGACCTTAAATCCCATCCAGTCCCACCCCTGCTGTGGGCAGAACCACCTTCCACTGTCCCAGGTTTCTCCAAACCCTGTGCAACCCAGCCTTGGACATTTCCAGGAATGGCAGGTCCACAACTTGTCCTTGAAGGAAGATGAAAACCGCACATGGGACACATCCAATTCCATGCCCAGAGCTGGGAAGATCCAAGATGTGGTCACAATCCTGCTCCAGAGGCCAAGGACCCTCTTCTCCATTCCCAAGTTACCAATTCCTTCTGCCCTTGCACTTTGTTTCTCTTCCCTCAGAAGCTGTCCAGGCATCAAATTCTTGTCCAGGAGTTTTTTATGAAGGGCCACCAAATCTCCCCAATCCAACTGAAAAACCACGGCGTGGCAGAAGGCAAATTGTCTTTCCTCTGTCCCTTTCCATGGAATATGGCAAATAAAAGCTTAGGAAGTACTGTAGAGGCAAGAAAATCCTTCAGCACAGCTCTGTGCCTGCAAATTCAGGCTCAGCTCCCCATCTCCCAAAGGAATCTGTGCCAAGAGCAATCGGATGTGGGGCATGACCTTTGTCAGCACTTAAGACGCCCTTTGTTGGTCACCTCCATAAGCTCCTGCCCGGTCTTTAATTCACAAAGGGAAAGGATCTGATCCCATCCTTCATAAACACCAGGAGGATTCCACTCGCTGATTCCAAGGGAGCCCGAGCAGGGAGAGGGACTCTGCGAGACAAAGCTCTTGGTTAAACAACATCGATGGCTCAAATATTTGCCAACACTTGCGAACACAAATATTTACGCCGGCAGCAGGAGCCAAGGCAGATTTTTCCTTCCAGATGTATTAAATGTTTCCTTGAGTGTGCAGAACTGGGAAAGGGCTCTTCTATCACTCGCCGGCTCATTTTCCAGGCCACTGGATGCACTCACTTATTTGGCAAATCTTGCTGGTAACGGGTTTTTCTCAGTTGATTTTCCGGACTTTCCTGCTTCCCCTGACAATCCTGTGCAGGGAGGGAGAACAAATGTGTTTTTTTAACTCTAGCAACCCAACCATTGTCACCCACTGCCAGCTTTCACTGCCAAAGAGGATGATTGGGGGTCCTTCACATCCCTTGGACCTGCTCAATGTCCTTGTGGGAAGGGAGGATGTGGAGCAGGATCAAACATCCAAGGAAGTGCAGGACTTTGTAAAGACAACAAGGCTGATGTATGCTGGATTCAGCCCATTCCTTGGCACATTCCAGAGGCTGGAGTGACACCTGAACCTCGGGGGTGACTGCTACCACCTAAATTGCCCCATTTCCAGAGGAATGCTCAGCCTGGATAAATTACATTCTTTTGGAGGTGCCTTCCCTGGTGGAGAAGGACCAGCAGTTCTCCTGCTGCTCCTGTCATTGCTCAGTGGTCCTGGGAACGTCTCTGATGCCAGGATACTGCAGGAGAGAGCTCTGATCTTGCTCAGACATCCACATTCCCCTTATATGCCAGGATATTGCGCTTACAATAAACGGGAGGCTTGTTCCCAGCCCCAAACACCGGCGAGGAAAAATGGGAAGCAGCAGTTCCTTCTCAGGGAATTGTGGTGGATTCAGCAGCAGCAAGAAGGGAGCATGAAGGGAGGCACTGGACAGCCAAACTTTAGTCCAGGAGCAGGGATTTGCATTTCAGGGATGTGCTACAGGTCCGTTGGAAGAGAAATGAAACATCAGTTTAAGGCCTGGTGTGGTGCAATTCTATGGATAATTATGAAGGGAGAATATTGTGAATGAATACAACTCCAAATCCCTTTCCAAGCTGTTTGGCTCCTATAAAGTGAAGAAAAGCTCACACATGGTTTTGGTGTGGGTAATAGGGGGCAGATGAGGTTGGCCTTCCTCTGCCAAGGCAAAGCGAATCCAAATGGAGCCTCCAGGGATGAAGTTGTTCATCCCACTGGTTGGTATCCTGCCTCTGGAATTAATGGACCCAGAAATTTTCTGGAAAAAGGTACTTTAACATACAGGCAATGGGAAAAATCCTTTGTAAAACTGGGTGGAAAAGTGGGTGACATTGGACAGGAGCTTTGTGTTCCTGCAGGTCCTGCAGGTCTTTCACACTGTCCCAGTAAAAGCTCCAGTGGGCAGACTGGGAAGGGGCTGCAGGAGACACAGAAACACATTCCAGGGACACAGCCAGGCCAGAAAATGGGAAAGAGCTGCTCTGGCCCAGGGAAAGGTGAACAGAACTTTGTGGATGCTGAGGATCAGATGTGGAGAGGGTGTGTCAAGATTGGGAATGCTGGACTGGGGACAGCTGGGAGAAGCTTCCCTAACATCTTCCCACTCTTTGGCTGGCTCCATCTGGCTCTCCCAGCACTTTGCTTAACAACATAATCCAGCTTGGCACCTGCATTCACACCCCCGGATCTGCAGGGGAAAGCACTGACCTGCACTTCCAGCCAGGATCATCCCAGGAATCAGGAATCATTCCTGTCCCTCACAGGGTGACAGGAGCAGGGTACTCCCTCCTGCCCTGCTTCTCCACACCCTGCAATTTATTAACCCTTGTTGTGCCTGACTGAGAACTGGGAGAGAAAGAAGCAGAGGATTCCAGGGTAAATCACTGGGACAGCTGTCTGGTTCACTGCCTGGGAAAGGCGAGGGAGGAGCGGACACACGGCGCTGGCCTTCGGACTGTGACGCTCTCTGGAACCACCCAGCAGGGTTCATTGGGTCACAGAGCCGTGGAATCTCCTGAGCTGCAAGGCACCCACAGGATCATCCAGTCCAACTCCTGGCCCTGCACAGACACCCCAACAATCCCACCCTGTGCCTGGAAGAGTGGTCCAAATGCCTGGAGCTCTTGGAGCCTCAAGGCTGTGCCCATTCCCTCAGAGCCTGGTCAGTGACTGACACCTTCTGGGGGAAGAACTTTTCCATCCTTAAAATCCAACCTAAACCTGTCCCCACACAGCTCCAGCTGTTCCCATGGTACTTCAGGAGCAGCTTCCCTTGGTCTCGGCCATGGTGAATATTCTTAGGGTGTAGATGATCCTCCTCCTGCCCCATGGATAAACCCGAGCTGTGTTTCCTGGAGAGTGGCCCCTCTCCAACCCCGGGGAGGAAATGAGGCTCTCTGGACTCTGTTCCTTCCTCATTTGGCAAGAAAAAATGGAGATGTTGGGAGGAAACAATCCAGAGAAATGTTTCACATCAGTGAGACACACTCCAAAGTATTTTTGGCAACGTGGTGTGGGAATTTGGCTTGGAATGTTGCTCGGAAGCTCGAAACTCCCATAAGCAAAAAGTGGCACCTCCATCTCTTGTGTTTGGAGTGTTTTGGGCCCTAAATGAGGGAATCATAAGAGGCTGATGATAGAACTAATGGTGGTCTGAGGGATTTTCTTTAGGGAAAAAAATCCTTCTGAGTCCCCAACAATGGTGAATGCTGGGAGCCGTGGATGTTGTCCATGGGTTTGTTGGCACAGCAGCAGTTTGCCTGTGCTTCCTGGAAAGCCGTGGCTGTTTCACACCCAGAAGGGCTCCAGCAATCCATGTGCTATCCCAGCTTGTTGAAGTGGCTGAGGAGACGGCTCTCGCTGTGCCTGGTGCTGCCTTTGGAGATGCCTTTGGAGCACTGGGAGTAGCAACTTCCAGCATCCTCCAGGGACTGGGATTTCAAAGGAAGACAACAGCCAAGAGGGGCCGAGCTCAGGCTTCACAGAACAACTTCAGGGTCCATAAATGAACATCTCTGTTGTTTGCTCCTGGATTTTGGAACTCGAGCATATGGATCCTGCTCCTTTTCTGACCCGGAGCAGTGATAAAGAAAGGATTATTCCCACCAAAAACTCAAAGGCCTTGAGGGTCTTATTTAATTAGAAGGGAATAAACCAAATATCCAGTTCCCTGTGTTTAGTTCAATATACACCTTTAACTCTGAAAACTCAGGAATCTCTGGCAGGATTTTTTTATTTTTTGCTAGAAAAACAAACAAGAAATGCTGTTTTCTGGCCAAAAAAGCCCGAGCTGTTCATTTCTTCCCTCTCTTTGTTTTTCCCTTTTTCTTTTCTTTTTTTTCATTCTGGGGCTGGTTTGGAGCAGCTCAGTGAGGAGGACACGCTGGATAAACATGGCACCAGCGGGGTGTTTGGAATGCTCCTCGCTCTGGACCTGCTCCCTATGGAGAGGAGGAGGCTGGAGGGGTGGAGGAATCCGGGTCATGGAGCAGAGGGCAGGGAGAAGACAGCTCCTCTGTTCTCCTGGCGTGCCCAAAGCTTCTCAGCTGAGGAGAACAACTAGGGTGTGCTGGGCCTTTTATTTTGTGTTCCCAACTTCCCCTTTCATCCCATGTGTCAAACAGCTTGGAAGCTTTGATTCCGGAGGCCAAGGAATTTGAACTGCAGGCCCAAATCCCTCAAGCATCTTTTGACATATAAAATCCTGAAGGAAAGTTCAGGGGTGCCTTCAGCCGGCGCCCTGGGGGTGCAAGTCAGGAGAGCCTGGGGGGTGGAATTGTCCTCAGCCATTCCTGGGTGGATAAGTTAAGGAGTGGGGAATCAGCCCAGGGAATGCAGGCACCATTTCAGTCTAAACTCACACAGAGTGCTTGGATTCTGCATGGCCACAGAGGGAAAATCTTCCAGGAAGGGATGAGAATTCAACAGGAATACTTGTGGATGGCCCTGCTGTGGGGATTGGAGTGGGCTCATGCTAGAGGGTCAGGCAATCCCTGGAGTTTGGCTTGGGAGCTGTGTCTGCCCATCCAGGGCCCTCTGCCGAGTCACACTGTGCCTCCAGTAAATCCATACCACGAGCTACGGGAGTCCCAGTAACATCCTAATGGGAGCTTTCCACAGAACCCCACAGCCCCAGACTGGTTTGGGATGGATGCCCCCAGCAGACCAGGGTGCCTTGTCAGTGTAGAAATGGGATATCCCATCTCCCTGCAGGGATGTCCTTCTCTAACAGGGAAACTGAGGCACAGGGAAAGTGGAGGTTGTCAGGAACATCTTTGCCCCGGGAGTCTGGTCGGTCTGGGGAAAACCTGGCCTGGCAATGAGCAGTGAACACACTGCCAAGGATTTCAGACATTCCCATTTCTCTGGAAGAGCATCAAAGATCAGCCCTCTCCAGGGATGGATGCAGCATTCCAGGTTCCTGGTCCTGGCCGGGATGGAGTGGGAATGCTGGGGAATGCAGTCTCCATGGCCATGGCTCTGCGCTGCAGAGCACCAAATCTATCCAACCTTTAGGTCCTACCTTGCTTTCCCAGTATGCGGCTTCTCCCAGGGAAAAAGGGTCCCGGAGCGAGGCCATGGAAGGCAGGGGAGCCTTTGAGCTGACATCAATGAGCTGGAGCCTCTCCCGTGCCCAGGGGCCTCCTGCTGCAGGGAATGAGCAGCAACCCTTCCATGTCTGCGGGAGGGGCTGCGCTGCACCAGCCCCCGTCTGTAACCACAGCCCAGCCCGGCTTTCATTGCCACACTCACCACTGGAAGTGTTTAAAAGGAGGGAGGGGAGAGCTCTGGCTGTGCCCTCCCTGCCCAAGGGTGGTACCGAGTCCCAGCCTGATCCCAGGGAGGTCTGGGCACTGCCTGGAGCAGAGCTGAGCTGTCCCACTTCAGAAGTCCTTCCCTTTTCCCCAGGGATCCATGGCAGTGGTGCATGCAGTGAGAAGTGGCTTAAAGCCCCCAGTCCTTTCTGCCCTGGAGCAGAAGGCACTGATGGGACCCAGATAGGGCTGTCTGATGCACTTCATGGAATCATGGAATTCCTGAGCTGGAAGGGACCCACTCATCCAGCCCCTGGCCCTGCATAGACACCCCAACAATCCCACCCTGGGCATCCCTAGGAGTGGTGTCCAAACACTCTGGCAGCCTCAGGGCTGTGCCCATTCCCTGGGAGCCTGTTCAGTGCCAAAACACCCTCTGGGGGAAGAACCTTTTACCTAAAATCCAACCCAACTCTTTCCTGACAGCTCCAGGTGTTCCTTGTGTCCTGTTCCTGGTCACAGAGAGCAGAGACAGGAGCTGCCCCTTGGAAGGAGCTCCAGCCCCTGGTGACTCGTCCCCTCTTCTGCAGGGTCACCACAAACACAGGGATGGTTTTTGTGCACATTTCAGTCTCCTTCAAGAGCATTTTGGGTCTGGCACAGTGGGTGGTGCCAGGCTTTCCCAAAGAATGAGCCCTTGGGAAGCAGCCTTTGAAGCAGACAAGAAGCTGCCCAGCAGCTGCTCCCCAAGGCCTCTCTGTGTGCCTGGCTGTGGCACAGCTGAGCCTCAAACCGGGGGAAACCCTGGGGCTGCTGCCTTCTTGGGGGATCTTCCCTTTCTCTCCTGCTCTCTGTGCCACCCTCCACACCCAGAGCTGACCCCTTCCAAGGCACAAACCCACAGCTGTGCTCGGGGCTGGCACAGGACAAGCCCTGTGCAAACAGGAGCAGCTCCAGGTGTGGTGTCAGCATGAGCCAGGTGCTAAAACCATGACCCGGCACTTCCCTTTGGAACAATCACAATCATTAATTTGGATGTTTGTTGGTGTTCCTGTCCTCAGGGATGTGTTGGTGTTCCATTTCTCCCCCCTCATGCTGGCAGATGGATTCAGGGGGTGGCTGCCCCTTTGGATGGTGGCAGCAGCCGGGAAAAGGCAGAGGGCAGCTGTCCCAGCCCTGGCATGCCAAGTGTTATCCAATAATCCCTCATGGCACTCCTGCTTCCCTCGGCTCTCAACACTTGCTTTTCTCCCTTGAACCAACTGCTACCTTGTGGCCAGCAGTGGATTTTTAGTTAACCCTGCCCACACCTGAGAGCCAAATGCCACCGCGGGAGGAGTGGGGATTCACCTGGAGCGTGAGGCAAAGGCAGGAGCACTTGGAAGAGTCAGGAACAGCATTTTTACACCTCACACGTGTGTGCAGGAAACGGGAGTGTGCACAGACGTGTGTGTGCACAGAGCAGGGAGGGGCAACTTGGTACAAAAGGCAAAGGTGTAGAATTTGAGGGTTGCCATGGCTACAGGTCAGATGCCTTTGTTCTCGCATCCTGGTGCAGCTTAGGGAGATGAGACACGCCAGCCTCGGAGCACGAGCAGGCGAGGATGGGGTTTTAATTGTTTTTTAGATGTGATGGCAAATAGCTGCACACTTTTTGTATCCAGGTTTGAAAGAAAAGGCAGCAAACGAAGGCAAGCTCCAGATTCAGATGGAATTGAAGCCACAGCGAGTCTGGGGAGCTGAGTGGCATCAAGGGAAACGTCCCCGTCGTATTGTCATGGTCACAGACAGCCCCTCTGAGGAGCCACAAAGCCACTTGTGTGCGGTGACCCTGGGCTGACACGGAGCCCAGTGTCCTCATGCCCAGCCCTGGGTGGGAGTGGGCACCATGCATGGGTGGGAGGTCATGGCTGTGCTCCTGCCTTTGTTTTTCCCTTTGAAATCCCCTGTCCAACTCTCCGCTGTCCCAGCTTATTTGATTCCGAGCTGGAAAGGAGATTTCAAACCAGGATCCATATGGGGCCCGTCAGTTGCGACTGGATTCATTTTAAAGTCCTTGTTAAGTCCAACAAAAAGCCAAAGATTAGAGCTGATATGTTGGCTTTCATCCAGATGCTGATCCTTGAAAGGCTGCCTTGAGACCGCCAGGCGACTCTTTCATTCCCCCCCTCTTCTTCTTGCTCTTCTTCTTCCCTTCTAATTGCTTCCCAAATTTGGGTTTATTGCCACGGGTTTGAAGCCAGGTAATCAGAACCAGGATTGTTTTTCTCTCCCCCATCTCTTTCTGGTACCCATCAGATTCTGGCTCTTTGTTGGCTCAGAAAGTCCACGTTAATTCCTTGACCACCAAGGGCTGGAGCCCTTTGGGATAACGCTCCAAGCCAGCCCTCGGCATTCCTGGCAGCCAGAGAACCACAGCGAGAAGAAAAGCAGCATGGTCCTTGTCTGTCAGGAATGTTCTGTCCTTTTCCCTCAATCCAGGGCTGCTTTGCCCCTGAGGGGCATTGTCCTGGTAGTGCCACAGCGGATGGGGACATCTGTGAGGGGAAGGGCTGGCACTGAGCACTGTGCTGCGCCCGGAACACGGAGCTGAGGTCACACCCAGGTGATCCAGGCAAGGACAGCAGGAATTCCCATGGTCATTCCCATTGTGCCAGTGGCCCAGCTGCACTGCACTGCTGGAGAGCTCTCCTCCAAGCTCCTCCCTGCTCTGCACATCCCAGCATGGAGTTGTCTCTCTGGGAACAGATAGCTCTTGACAGCCGGGATTGCGAGGGAAGCAGGAGCGGCCAGGAAAAGGAACAGAGCTCCATTAAAAGCTGAGTGCAATCAGGGAAGGAGCGAGGGTGTGGATAAGAGGAAAGGGAAGGGATATTTGTGCTACCTGGTGCCAAAAAGCAGGAAACTGAGCAGAAGCAGAGATGGGACAGAGCTGGGAACGTGTTGTGTTCCAGGATCTCATGGTGGAGACACCCAGCAGAGGCTCCTGCTTTGTTTCTCGGTTGTGCATCATTGGGAGCAGCCCATATGGAGCCTGTGCCATCCTTGCTGGTCAGTGTTCCCTGTGAAGGGACAGACCCAGAGCTCTGCAGGAGGGGGCCTGAGCTGCTGGAAGCATGAGGAGGTCAGGAAAGGGATGAGAGCCTGCAGGGCTTGGAGCTGTTGGAGTGGGATGCTGGAGATGGAAGCAGAGGACGGATTCAGGCTGTGTTGGAGATGATGCAGCAGAGTGAGCATCACACCCTGGGCACCTCAGAAGGGGTAAAATAGGTGCCTCCAAGCTGGATCCAGCCCTGCAAGGTGAAGCCCAGCCAGGCTGGCCCACGGAATGGCTCCTGGCTCTGGCATGGGAAAGGC